CACAAATCAAAACCAAAATTTGTCAGTTACCATACACACTTAAGACAAAGTTGATGAGCAATCCGTACCTTGGATCCTGGGATGCCCTACATACATATGGATGGGACATCACACTGCCAGTATGCCCATCCTAAGGTTACCTTCCCCCAGGGAAGGCCCTTTTGAATGCCTCCACACTGCAGGCTAAAGATACAAATTGATTGAGTTAAGGTTTATACTATGGAAAAGTTTCAACATTTCTGTGATTATAATTAACACATTCATCAGACAAAAATTATAGCTTAATAAATTGTTCTACGATTATTATTGAATTCATCCTCTTATTGTATCATCATACTATTGTATTATCTAGAAAACTAAATATGGTGGGAAAGTCCGAAGATGTTGTGGCTCAAAGAGTCATAGACATGCCAACATCTCAGTAGAAACCATGAATTTGTAACTCCATATAAGGTCTAAATGTTACATCCATCACAATGTTTTCTATGCTATTAATTACCTCAGTGTGAAGACAGTCCATACAGGAGACCTAACAGTGTCTCAGTGCCACCTCCAGGCACGTCCCCTGTGTCCTGAAAACAGTAAAGACAAACATGAGATTTTCTTTCTGTTGAAAGCAACTGCATTCATTTATAGACACTAGAATCTATTGTGAACTGAATATGGTGTGTAATTTTGATTTTAATTATTTTACCACATTTTAACTACATTCAGGGTAAACATTTATGAGAATAGAAATAAATTGCAATTAACATTTACTCTCTCATTTCAATAATTATTTTCATGACCGTCAATTACCTCCTACAGACCAGGGGATTGCGTTGGGCTACATCAGGCCAAGCCGCCAGCTTTCGCCTCAGCTGGAACCCTGCAATTGGAAACAGTACACAATACAAACCAAATCTCAGTCATTTTCCAAACAATGCCAGGTTCTGGTACTTCATACTTTTTCAATGAATTTTCTTCTCTTAAGGTTGTATGCTACCTTACTGATTGTCCCCATTTAGTTTTTGTTTGAGACTCCAGGTATACATTTGAATAGGATGTGACATTTTTATGTAAATTATTATCCAAAGGTTTAACTACATTGCATTAAGACATTCATGGGAGATAACTGCAACACAAATCAAAACCAAAATTTGTCAGTTACCATACACACTTAAGACAAAGTTGATGAGCAATCCGTACCTTGGATCCTGGGATGCCCTACATACATGTGGATGGGATATCACACTGCCAGTATGCCCATCCTAAGGTTACCTTCCCCCAGGGAAGGCCCTTTTGACTGCCTCCACACTGCAGGCTAAAGATACAAATTGATTGAGTTAAGGTTTATACTATGGAAAAGTTTCAACATTTCTGTGATTATAATTAACACATTCACCAGACAAAAATTATAAACATGCCCATCCTAAGGTTACCTTCCCCCAGGAAGGCTCTTTTGACTGCCTCCATGCACACTGCAGGCTAAAGATACAAAATGATTGAGTTAAGGTTTATAATATAGAAAACTTTCAACATTTCTGTGATTATAATTTACACATTCACCAGACAAAAATTATAGCTCAATAAATTGTTCTACAATTATTATTGAATTCATCCTCTTATTGTATCATCATACTATTGTATTATCTAGAAAACTAAATGTGGTGGGAAAGTCAGAAGATGTTGTGGCTCAAAGAGTCATAGACATGCCAACATCTCAGTAGAAACCATGAATTTGTAACTCCATATAAGGTCTCTCTGTTATCCATCCAAACGCTTTCTATGCTATTAATTACCTCAGTGTGAAAACAGTCCATACAGGAGACCTGGCAGTGTCTCAGTGCCACCTCCAGGCATGTCCCCCGTGTCCTGAAAACAGTAAAGGCAAACATGAGATTTTCTTCTTTATGATAGCACCTGCACTGCATTCCTAGATTTATTAGATACTGGTCTGAATTGAAGGGAATTTTGATGTTTAATTATTTTTCAAAGTTTTAACTTTATTCAAGGTAACTTCAGAGAATAGAAACTAATTATAATGAACATTTTACTGTCTCATCTCGATTATTATTTTAACGAATGACAATTACCACCCATGGACCGGGGGAATGTGTACTCCGAGATCAGGAAGGGGCGACGATCTATGCGCCTTGAGTAGCTCCTCCTCCAGGATCTAGCATAACACAACATACTTGATACATGCATTCCTGATGATAAGGTACTTTATGAAATGATAATTTTGTGTTACTAGTCTTCATCCAATATAATTATTTAGTTTATACACTTTAACAATCAGACACAGTACTGCTTTATCACAACCTAGTTCGTAGGTCGATCGTCTCAAAGCAGTTCACAAATTATTATCCGTGGTTATAGGGCCTTTGCAACCAGCCGATATCTTTCTCAACTCTGTGGGGAGCATACAGCCAGTGCTGCCATTTTGGCGCTCATAGATAGCATTTTACAATTCTAGCACTGCCTAACCACATACTCATTTACAGCTGAGTAGACTGGAACAAGTGGAGTAAAGTATCTTGCTCAAACAAACACCACAGTACCATGCCTTGCCATGACTCAAACCCGCAACCCTTTGGTCACAAGACCGGCATCCTTCCACTAGACTAAAGTGCCTCCCCTGTGTACCCTAAATACATAGTTTTATCTATTCTATGAATGATCAGCTGTATATATTGAATCTAATTCTGTAAAAATACATATTTTACCAACTCAAATTTTACTATATTATTGAATTTTAGCAGATAAGTGCACTAAAGAATTAGCGTACTCGTATTATATAGAATAGAAAACCATATACAGAAACTTCAATTAACACAGAAGATTAGCAGAAGACTTAAAGTGCAAAGAGAATCAAATTAGAATACCGCAAAAATATATTCGCTTACAGTATGTAAAGGTGGTCATATTATGCAAAACCATTTTTTCTTCACATTGCCATTATAATAATTACATGTAACCATCATTGGTATGTTTGATGAAAACAGAGCTAATCAAACTAAATGTATCTATTGGAATGTGAATTTAAGAGCAACTGANATTATAGCTCAATAAATTGTTCTACAATTATTATTGAATTCATCCTCTTATTGTATCATCATACTATTGTATTATCTAGAAAACTAAATGTGGTGGGAAAGTCAGAAGATGTTGTGGCTCAAAGAGTCATAGACATGCCAACATCTCAGTAGAAACCATGAATTTGTAACTCCATATAAGGTCTCTCTGTTATCCATCCAAACGCTTTCTATGCTATTAATTACCTCAGTGTGAAAACAGTCCATACAGGAGACCTGGCAGTGTCTCAGTGCCACCTCCAGGCATGTCCCCCGTGTCCTGAAAACAGTAAAGGCAAACATGAGATTTTCTTCTTTATGATAGCACCTGCACTGCATTCCTAGATTTATTAGATACTGGTCTGAATTGAAGGGAATTTTGATGTTTAATTATTTTTCAAAGTTTTAACTTTATTCAAGGTAACTTCAGAGAATAGAAACTAATTATAATGAACATTTTACTGTCTCATCTCGATTATTATTTTAACGAATGACAATTACCACCCATGGACCGGGGGAATGTGTACTCCGAGATCAGGAAGGGGCGACGATCTATGCGCCTTGAGTAGCTCCTCCTCCAGGATCTAGCATAACACAACATACTTGATACATGCATTCCTGATGATAAGGTACTTTATGAAATGATAATTTTGTGTTACTAGTCTTCATCCAATATAATTATTTAGTTTATACACTTTAACAATCAGACACAGTACTGCTTTATCACAACCTAGTTCGTAGGTCGATCGTCTCAAAGCAGTTCACAAATTATTATCCGTGGTTATAGGGCCTTTGCAACCAGCCGATATCTTTCTCAACTCTGTGGGGAGCATACAGCCAGTGCTGCCATTTTGGCGCTCATAGATAGCATTTTACAATTCTAGCACTGCCTAACCACATACTCATTTACAGCTGAGTAGACTGGAACAAGTGGAGTAAAGTATCTTGCTCAAACAAACACCACAGTACCATGCCTTGCCATGACTCAAACCCGCAACCCTTTGGTCACAAGACCGGCATCCTTCCACTAGACTAAAGTGCCTCCCCTGTGTACCCTAAATACATAGTTTTATCTATTCTATGAATGATCAGCTGTATATATTGAATCTAATTCTGTAAAAATACATATTTTACCAACTCAAATTTTACTATATTATTGAATTTTAGCAGATAAGTGCACTAAAGAATTAGCGTACTCGTATTATATAGAATAGAAAACCATATACAGAAACTTCAATTAACACAGAAGATTAGCAGAAGACTTAAAGTGCAAAGAGAATCAAATTAGAATACCGCAAAAATATATTCGCTTACAGTATGTAAAGGTGGTCATATTATGCAAAACCATTTTTTCTTCACATTGCCATTATAATAATTACATGTAACCATCATTGGTATGTTTGATGAAAACAGAGCTAATCAAACTAAATGTATCTATTGGAATGTGAATTTAAGTGCAACTGATCATGATGCTGGTGAAATGGAAAATACAGTCAATTTTTCAGACAGGTCTTGGCCCAATTATTTACCCTGCTCCGGACGCTGGCAGGCCATCCTATTCCGTCAGTCAGATATTCTGGATCAGATGACATTTACCCTAGTCAGACTTTCTGACGCAAAAGGTACTGTTGCAAAAATAGATTTATTCTAGTTCAGCTGCACCCAACCATCCAGGCACAAGAGAATTTAACCCCAGCTCGGAAACAACCAATATGAAGCACTTGACTCAGTATGACTACATGTTCCCCTCAGGACTATCACGGAGGGGTACATGATATCGGATCCCCACATGTCACCATAAAGGTCCTTGTACCTCAATAATGGAGTTTGCCAGGGTTAAAAACTTTGTTAAAGGAGTGAATAATGCAGCTGAAATAAACAAATCCATCCAGCTTCAGATACCCCAGACGCCAAATCACCCAACTAGAGCTCACACCACCTTCCTAGATATATCTAACCAGGGTTCTGTCCATTTACAGTAAGACAGTCCTGTAAAGAAAAACATAATATTATCAATTTTGTAATTTTTATATAAATGGGTAGAAGGTATAGGAGAAGTTGGGAATTATCTTTGTAGTCTTTTGGTTTGTATTCCTCAATTGGGCCCAACCTCCCAGTCCATCAAGATCTGATGCTGAATGGTATACACACTGTAATGTCACAGATGTCTTAATAGGGAAGATTTAGTTTAGTCTTGGAGTAAAATGTTTTAAGATACAACAGATAACACACAGCCAAATGCAACAAGAGGCCCATGGGCCCTAACGGTCACCTGAGTCCTACAGTATTATTTTTTGTTGTTGAAATATAAAGTGGAGATAATGATGTCAATCATCCCTACCAAAATTTGAGTAAAAAAAGTTAAGTGTAACTTTAAGTTGAGTTTCTCAGGACAACGAGTTGATCATTCGTAGACTGAGTTTCAGTTAATTCGGCCTATTAAAACTTGATTTCAAGTTTTAAATAGTTTTTTTCCAAAATGGCAGCCATGGCCGCCGTATTGGATTTTTGATGGACCTGAACAAAAACATTTTGCCAGGACCATGAGTTGATCATTCCTACCAAGTTTCAGTTAAATCAGCCAAGTAGAACTCAACTCTAAGTTTGAAATAGTTTTTCAAGATGGCCACTGTGGCGCCACGGCCATATGGGATTTCTGATCGACCCGAAAAATAACAACAATTTGTCAGGACCATGAGTCGATCATTCCTACCAAGTTTCAGTTAAATCGGCCCAGTAGAACTCATCTTTAGGTTTTAAATAGTTTATCAAAATGGTGGCCATATTGGATTTCTAATCGACCCAAAAATAACAACTCTTTGTCAGGACCATGAGTTAATCATTCCTACCAAATTTCAGTAAAAACAGCCAAGTAGAACTTGACTTTAAGTTTGAAATAGTTTTTCAAAATGGCGGCCTTGGGCGCCATGTGTTTTCTAATCAACCCGAAAAATATTAACACTTGGTCAGGGAGTTGTCAGTAACATTCCCATGAAGTATCAATGAAATCCCTTTGACAGTATTTCAGCTTAAGTTGAAAATGTAAAATGTTAACAGACGACGGAAGACACACGACGCACATCGACGGACGAGGACGGATAGCAATAGGTCACTTGAGCAAAAGCTCAGGTGACCTATAAATATAACTGATGATGCTTTAACAGCTGCTGGACCAGGAAACATAGGCCACAGTAGCAGGCGGGAATGGGGCTCTGCGTCCCTCCCTGGACAAAGGGATCACTTTGTAGCGGCGAGGCGTAGCAAGCAGGCGTGTTTGGCGAGCTAGCTATATTCTGTCATAGAGTGAAGAATAATTTTGGCCCACCCACCCATTTCCCCCTTATTTTGTGTGATGTACATGTGTAGTATATAGATAACAGTAGAGTAGTATATGTGTAGATCCAGTTATTACACATGGCGGTGATGTGAGGGGATTCAGAAGAATGCTATTAATTGATTACGTAACATCACATAATTATTATGTTATTGCGGTTTCTATACATGATTACGTAATATTAATAAACTGGATCTCCTGTCCCAAACCTGGTCGTTGTGTTGATATTTCAGACCTGTGATTAATTGAAAGATTTAATTTGTTTTTATATTGTTTATCTTTAATTTCTAGTCATCAATATAAGTGTGGGATCAGCAGTGTATAGACGCAAGTTCTTTATTGTTCATTTTTATTTTCTAAAACTTAAAATTCTGAACAATTAAAAATCCGTAAAATGCATTACAAGATTTTATTTACATGTAGAGTTGTCAAGATACACTTTACTCCAAAACCAGTAGGCATCACATTTTTGTGCCATATCCATTAGTACAGTTGTATTTTCTATTAACCCTTTCACCCCTAGGTAACTTAAGTAGACTCTACTCTAGCTTTATCTGGATGAGTCCATTGTGGTCCACAGTGGTGAAAGGGTTTTAAACTTGATATATTACAAATTAAATTGAGAAATATTAACATCAAAGTTTTACTTTCTACACAAACAATGTACGTATTAAACATTAAACGTATTGTTTGTGCAGAAAGTAAAACTTTGATGTTAATATTTCTCAATGGGTGACTGCCTTAATTCTGTCATTGTGTTTAGATCCCGGGCGATCCAGGTGATCTATTGGTGACTGCCTTAATTCTGTCATTGTGTTAAGATCCCGTGTGATTCAGGTGATCTATGGGTTACTGCCTTAATTCTGTCATTGTGTTTAGATCCGGTGTGATTCAGGTGATCTCTGGGTGACTGCCTTAATTCTGTCATTGTGTTCAGATCCCGGGCGATCCAGGTGATCTATTGGTGACTGCCTTAATTCTGTCATTGTGTTCAGATCCCGGGCGATCCAGGTGATCTATTGGTGACTGCCTTAATTCTGTCATTGTGTTAAGATCCCGTGTGATTCAGGTGATCTATGGGTTACTGCCTTAATTCTGTCATTGTGTTCAGATCCCGGGCGATCCAGGTGATCTATTGGTGACTGCCTTAATTCTGTCATTGTGTTTGGATCCCGTGTGATTCAGGTGATCTATGGGTTACTGCCTTAATTCTGTCATTGTGTTTAGATCCGGTGTGATTCAGGTGATCTCTGGGTGACTGCCTTAATTCTGTCATTGTGTTCAGATCCCGGGCGATCCAGGTGATCTATTGGTGACTGCCTTAATTCTGTCATTGTGTTCAGATCCCGGGCGATCCAGGTGATCTATTGGTGACTGCCTTAATTCTGTCATTGTGTTTGGATCCCGTGTAATTCAGGTGATCTATGGGTGACTGCCTTAATTCTGTTATTGTGTTTAGATCCTGGGTGATTCAGGTGATCTATGGGTGACTGCCTTAATTCTGTCTTTGTGTTTAGATCCCGTGTAATTCAGGTGATCTATGAGTGACTGCCTTAATTCTGTCATTGTGTTAAGATCCCGTGTGATTCAGGTGATCTATGGGTTACTGCCTTAATTCTGTCATTGTGTTCAGATCCCGGGTGATCCAGGTGATCTATTGGTGACTGCCTTAATTCTGTCATTGTGTTCAGATCCCGGGCGATCCAGGTGATCTATTGGTGACTGCCTTAATTCTGTCATTGTGTTCAGATCCCGGGCGATCCAGGTGATCTATTGGTGACTGCCTTAATTCTGTCATTGTGTTTGGATCCCGTGTGATTCAGGTGATCTATGGGTTACTGCCTTAATTCTGTCATTGTGTTCAGATCCCGGGTGATCCAGGTGATCTATTGGTGACTGCCTTAATTCTGTCATTGTGTTCAGATCCCGGGCGATCCAGGTGATCTATTGGTGACTGCCTTAATTCTGTCATTGTGTTTGGATCCCGTGTAATTCAGGTGATCTATGGGTGCCTGCCTTAATTCTGTCATTGTGTTAAGATCCCGTGTGATTCAGGTGATCTATGGGTGACTGCCTTAATTACTTTCTACACAAACAATGTACGTATTAAACATTAAACGTATTGTTTGTGCAGACAGTAAAACTTTGATGTTAATATTTCTCAAGGGGTGACTGCCTTAATTCTGTCATTGTGTTTAGCTCCCGTGTAATTCAGGTGATCTATGGGTGCCTGCCTTAATTCTGTCATTGTGTTAAGATCCCGTGTGATTCAGGTGATCTATGGGTGACTGCCTTAATTCTGTTATTGTGTTTAGATCCCGTGTAATTCAGGTGATCTATGGGTGACTGCCTTAATTACTTTCTACACAAACAATGTACGTATTAAACATTAAACGTATTGTTTGTGCAGAAAGTAAACCTTTGATGTTAATATTTCTCAATGGGTGACTGCCTTAATTCGGTCATTGTGTTTAGATCCCGGGTGATCCAGGTGATCTATGGGTGACTGCCTTAATTCTGTTATTGTGTTTAGATCCTGGGTGATTCAGGTTATCTATGGGTGACTGCCTTAATTCTGTCTTTGTGTTTAGATCCCGTGTAATTCAGGTGATCTATGAGTGACTGCCTTAATTCTGTCATTGTGTTAAGATCCCGTGTGATTCAGGTGATCTATGGGTGACTGCCTTAATTCTGTCATTGTGTTTAGATACTGTGTGATCCAGGTGATATATGGGTGACTGCCTTAATTCATTAATTGTGCATCATCCATAGACAATCATATTTTCAACTTCTCATCAGAACGCAAATTTAATTCTAATGCAACTTCTTGCCAATCTTCTGCCTGTGGTGGGTATCAGAATCTTTACACCGGAAGGAGCAGAAGAATTGTCATTGCAATTATAAGCCATCAAAGTGAAATATATTTGTTATTTCTGAAGACACCCTTAAATTTCCAATTTATTACATTTTTAAAGTATAAAACATGAAAAATGTAATGCATTAAAAAAGGGTGTGAATCAGAAGCGTAATAATTAGCGCCATATTCTAATGACGTCATGCTTGACAACAAGGCTGCGCGCCATTTTGAATGGGATACTCAACGTTATTCTGACGTTTTCTGTTATTTTCTGGTATGATTGCTTATAAAAATGTTATCAATTGTATATTTATGGAAATACTTAAGTGTGTGTACCAAACATTTACCATAACAACCACTTATTCTACCGTCGCTTCATTTGAATCTGAACAAAATAAATTGTTGCCTTTGAATGCAGCAAATAGAAGATAATGTTATCATTGGTCAATACCAAAATGTGATATTTGTCACAGTGTAAAAGATATCAGTTTTATCAAGTTAATAGAATCCAATATTTCACTGGCAAAAATGTAATAAATTGATATATTTATATGATCAGGTTGGGCACAACGGCGCATATGGGTAATAATCCTGCATTTGGGTAACATCTTTGTATGTTATGGTTGAATGCACTTCAAATCTAATTTCACTATCCTATATAAAAAAATAAAAATTGTACTTCACTATCTTTATTAAAAATCGCTATTCATATGGTTATTATAAACAACTTTTGGTTGAACGTTTTTTCGTGTTTTGACATTTTTATGATTTTAGATGTCCCGACTTTTCTAAGGTTTCAAAGGTCGTGAAATACTTTCAAAACCGAAAACTGTTCAACCCAAAGTTGTTTGTTATAACCAATAGATATGGCGATTTTCAATAAGGTAAGTGAAGTACAAAATTTTGATTTTTTATATAGGATAGTGAAAGTAGATTTGAAGTGCATTCAACCATAACATACAAGGATCAAAATCTTTTCAGTAGTGATCTCAAAGGGGGCTTTTTGTAACACAGATTAAAGCTTTCAAACTAGTCGGAGCTGACTCTTTACTTAAAGAGAATTTGGCAAACATCTCTAAAACCTTTAGTGGTTTTTGTCTAATATTTTTTAATACAAAGGGTAGGGGGCAGTTGATCCCACATCCCCATTCCCTACCCCTGGATGTTTTTTTAAATATCTTATGACTGCTGACTGGCCATTTGTAGCCTTTTCATGCTTTACTGGTAAATTCTACAGCTTCTGGGGTTCTTTGTCCCTTTGCATGTTTTTATTTGCCCCCTTGATCAGTTGGGCCTTGCTGTACCCATGCATGATGTACCACAAGAAAATGGAGAATTTGTTACAGTTTAAATTAAAGATTATGATAAGATCTAAATACAGCTATACTGTAACAAATTATCAGGTCCCTGTGTGATTCTACAGAGGTTTACCCAAGAAGGTGCAGACTTCTCAGGTCGCATCAAAATGGCTAATGGTCAATTAGTGCGAATTCGAAACTTCAAAAGACACACTTTTCACAAATTTTTCGTAACATCCTTCAATATTGACAGTGTCTCATGAAAGGGAGAGGGGGCAGGAAAGGGGGGTGCATGAAAGGGAGAGGGGGCATGAAAGGGGGGGGGGCACTTGTCCCATTGGGAGCTTTTATCTTGTGACGTCAGAGCTACTCGCAATTCCCGTTTTTAAAAAAAAAATGCAAAACTAAATAAACTTGAATCGTCAGGGTACATCTTATAAAGAGAGAATTTAGCCATCAAGGGCGTCTAGCTGAAGCATTAGATCTTACGTCAAATAATCAGTTAATTGATAGCTACAAGCCATTTTGATGTGCACTGTAAAAGGTGATAATTCGCCAATAAATGCATATGTAAGCGGCCAATATCAAAATGCGTTACATCAGATAGTAAACATATAGGTCAGTATCAATTTGACAATGCAATCAAAGCATGTTTCGCCATCGTGTAAAAGAAAATCAGGACTCACCCGAAGGGTTAACAGCACGGGAAGTAATTAGGAAGTTGTGTGAACGCGAACCTCGGGCACGTTCATTGGTCAAGTGGCTATAGCATGAACTCGGTTTCAATGACGCAGGAACGTGGGGTGATTTGGGGTGCAATTATGGACAGGTATTTCTGCTGAAGTATATTATATACGTGATGTATTAGTACTTTGGTAAATAAACACCAAAGTCAGCGTCTAATTTTCCTGATTTGTTTCTACTACATGCAAATAAAGAGTTCTTGTCCCTACACGAACCTCAGCAAAGGTTTGATACGTCAGAGAAGTGTTACCCATTGCAAACATATTATAGAGATTTGTAAACCAGAGACGTATCTATCAACATATTATCACGGAATATATAGGTCTCTGGTAAAGTTTTCATGGCACTTATCGCGTACAAAACCATTCTTTGTTCTATCTTTTTTTAAATCAGAATCATGTGCATTAAAACGGGCACAAAATATAACTAAAATGTGTCTTATTTTAAACTAAAACAGACATAACAGGACATTGTTAAAAAGTACATCGTGTAGCGATAATTCATTGGATATCTCGAATCAATGTATCCAATGTTGCAGAACAAGATATGACAAGATATTACAAGGCACATGGGGTCAGAATTTTATATTACTTTATAATTTATACTGCTTGTAGAATTATTTTACAATGTTGTAATAGAACCAGCGGGCGACGTATTTTTTCCGCAATGCTGTTTTGGATTATCCATAGCCTCAATGTGACCATATAGAGCAAAGTAAGTGTTAAGAGGCGGTGAATTAAAATGCCCTGATGCATATGACCAAAGGCTTAGTGGACCCAGTGAGGACTTACAAAAAAACGTATAATTTACATATTTCTATGGTACCAGAATAGATATTCATTTGTATGTGAAATTTTCCTTGGAATTAGATAAAAAAAAAAGAGTGAGGCCTAATAAATATTGCAGTTACATCCGATTATGGACTCATAGAGGACGATTAGGTGTTGTAAAAAAACAAGTTTTGAATTTTGAAATACAATGGCGATTTCATGTGAAAGCAACCACACCGGGTAAGATTTTTTTGTGTCTGAAATCATCCTCGATATCCAGGGGTTACCATCACTTTCGCTCTCTGCACCCCTGGAATCATCCTCGATATCCAGGGGTTACGCTCACTTCCGCTCTCTGCACCCCTGGAATATGTCATAGCAAAATTGAAGGCATGCGGATTGGTGTCAGGTCAAACAACCTGATCAATCACTAGGCTGATACTTGCCCTTTGAAGATTATAGAGGAGGATTCCCGACTACAAAGCCAAAAAATGTTACCGTTACGCGACCGCGAGATTCTGTAGATTTACAGCAAAGGGTCTTCCTAAGCACATGTCTTTATATATATGACCCAGCTGTCTGTTGAGAAGACGTTAATTCCGTTCAAAAGAAAAAGAAATAGAATGCAAATACTACATCTTTTAATAGGTGCCTTCTGACATCCTATTTTTACAGCGAACATGCAAAAGTTACTGTGAATAATCGACTCATTTTCACTCGTGCCTTAAAAACTACGTTTGTGTCAACGAACTTATACAAATACACATAGCTGTAACAAACGTAAATCACAAAAAAAAATCTTTTACGGCTTAATTGACGACCCGTTAATTTATATATATATTGATTTTCTTGATCGTATTTACAGCAAACCGCTTTAACAGTTATACTGTACCTACAATACAATTAAAACTCGCTCTAGAGGTTCAGATTATGTTTAGAAAACTGTCATATTTGGAAAACAGAAAACAATCTACAAGGCCTATATTATGTTATTAACACGAAAGGAATGAAAGTGATACATCAGAGGTTATTTACGCAATGAACATTTCCCTCAAACTTGTTAAACATGGTGTTTCCGAGCGTGAATTCTAGCGTATTTATTTCCAGCTAGTTCTGTCATGTGAGTGCGTGAATTCTAGCGTATTTATTTCCAGCTAATTCTGTCATGTGAGTGCGTGAATTTGTTTGTTTGTTTGGGGTTTAACGTCCTCGCAACACCCAGGACCATACGAGGACGGGTAACTAGGGAGACACACCCAGGATCATACGAGGACGGGTAACTAGGGAGACACAACACCCAGGATCATACGAGGACGGGTAACTAGGGAGACACAACACCCAGGGTCATACGAGGACGGGTAACTAGGGAGACGCAACAACCAGGAGCATACGAGGACGGGTAACTAGGGAGACACAACACCCAAGGTCATACGAGGACGGGTAACTAGGGAGACACAACACCCAGGATCATAGGAGGACGGGTAACTAGAGGAGACACAACACCCAGGATCCTACGACGACGGGTAACTAGGGAGACACAACACCCAAGGTCACACGAGGACGGGTAACTAGGGAGACACAACAACCAGGATCATAGGAGGACGGGTAACTAGAGGAGCCACAACACCCAGGATCCTACGAGGACGGGTATCTAGGGAGACACAACACCCAGGGTCATACGAGGACGGGTAACTAGGGAGACACAACACCCAGAGTCATAGGAGGACGGGTAACTAGGCAGACACAACACCCAGGATCATAGGGGGACGGGTAACTAGGGAGACACAACACCCAGGATCATACGAGGACGGGTAACCAGGGAGACACAACACCCAGGATCATAGGAGGACGGGTAACTAGAGGAGACACAACACCCAGGATCATACGAGGACGGTAACTAGGGAGACACAACACCCAGGATCATACGAGGACGGTTTGTTGGGACGTCACCACCTAAAAGAGAAAGTAAGAAGAAAGAAAACAGGAAAGATAAGAAACAAAAAAGTTCTAAAAAGTGTCCCCCTCGCAGAAAGGAGACACGGAAGAAGACCCTTATTTTGCAGATGACCACCAAATTAGTCGCCTTTTATGATACATGTGCAGTTGGATACAGAAGGTAAGTTTTTAATTTCTTCAATGTCTCTTAAACAGAATACAAGGAAGCGGAGCAGTGAACCGATTCCACAAGGGGAGAGGCACATTAGTCGCCTCGTACATTGTACGATTATGCGGTGGGATACATCAGGTATTTTCTGTCCCCTAATCTGCACGGGTTGTAAGTGCACAGAATGAGGCAAAAATAAGATACTTACAACAAGAGATTGTTAGGTTATTGTTGTTTGAAATTTGTAATATTAATTTCAAAGCTTTAAAAACCACGTTGACCTTTGATTCCGACTAGCACTTAAAGTTGACCTTTGACCTCATTACTGTAACAAAGAAAACGATTCCCACAGCTGGTCTGCATAACATATCCAATTATCATAATTCTAGTCCTTATGGTCCTTTAAATATTGTTGTTTGAATTTTTTAACATATTCGACCCATGTGACCTTGAAAGTAGGTCAAGGTCATTTCAATGAGGAAACTTTATAGCACTCCATTCCATCTACCTACTGGTCAAATGTCGTGACTCTAGGTCATCTCGTTCTTCAGAAGAAGTCGTTCAAAAGAAAAAAAGTTGACTGACGGACGACGGACGACGGACGACGGACGGGTACGAATATAGCTCACCTAGCTAAAAACCATTAGATGTACGGTATATCTTTAATTTGACAATTCAAACTCAATAAAAGGATAGTACTTGTACAAATATAAGCGTAGCTGCACTTGCAATATTCATATTCATAAATTAAATTTCTAACGGACGAAAATGTCATTATGTCATTGAATACATCTCCGGCTCAGAACTGTACGTATTCAATTTTACCGGTTTGCATGATGCAAGTAATTTATACACTTACATGTGAGTAAGACCAACTTTACTTTTATTGTTTAGTGAGCTACAAAATTCGATCCAGTGTTTTCCTTTGTATTTTTTACATTTTTCCCCATCTACGTTTAATTCTTGTTGTTGTCGAGCAGTTCTCATTCCACCAGGGATTATGTTTACGTTCTCTAAGTTTACCGGATGTTTTGGGGATTGTTTCTGCTGCTGCTTTTAATGTGACGTTGGTTAAGTTTTCATCGTATCAATATCGTTATTTTTGACATCGTTTATTCTATTTTTTTTCACATATATCTTGGAATTTATGCCAATTGGCTTTTTCAAATAACCGTTTTGGCGGGAATTGGATTGTGTTTCTAATTGGTCTGAAATTGAATTTTGCTAGTATGGGATAGTGGTCTGAGCCTAGGGTGCTGTTACTTATACCGACCATGTGCTTAGTTAATTGGCTATTTCTGGTGACGAGATGGTGAGATCTAAAGGAGACGAGATATGCCGCCGGTTCTTAAGTCTGTCTGGGTTCCTTGATCCGGTTCATTTAGTACTGGTAGGTTATTTTCTAAGAGCCAATCTTCTAGTATATCCTCTCTTGGGTTATTTTGCCTACTCCCCCATATTATATTTGCAGCATTAAAGTTTCCAGATAAGATACAGTGTTGGTACTTTCTCCAATATTATGCTGGGACTTATATACATATTAAAAATTGCTATTATTTTATGATTACTGTAAATCTCTGCACCAAGCATTTCCTATTTAGGGGAGATATCCTTAATTTGTACAGATTAAATGCTATATCATTTTTAATGTATAACGCTAACCCTGGGGTTCGACTGCCTAATTTAAGAGGTTCGTAATAACCTATGAGTTTGGGAACTTTTAATTTTTGTCTCATTTTAGTTTCTTGTACTTTGATTATGTCTATGTCTTTGTGCTGTGTTAATAGTTGTTTTAGGCTAATTAAGTTAATTTGCACTGAGGCCGCGGGCGTTCCAGCTGAGAATTAGTGGATCCCCCAGGGCCTATTTCAAGGACTAAGCATATTTATATAAAAATAAATATATGTCTGCAGTATCATGAATATGGTTTTAAATTACTTAAGGCTAAGTTGTAAAGACAATACACTTTATTGATACACTTAGGACTAAGGTGCTACAGAATGTAACATACTGGTCACAGCATGTGGTGCTTCCTCTCCATCTGACTGGTCAATACAATAATAACCTCTAGTACACTGACCACCTGTGGACCAGGATACCAGCACATGTGTGCCCAATTTGATCAGCCTATAGTACATGGATCCTCAAATTACAAAATGTAAAGCATTAATATTCAAACAATTATTCAAAGTTTCAGCCATCAGATCAAAATCAAGTAAAAATGTTAAAACTTTAAAATGAGTTAATTTATAAAACGTATCCTGCTTATGATGTACACTGTACATGTGATATACTGCAAGCCTACCGTATTTCAAAAGGATATGATAGTATAACAGTAAATTACTCTTCATAGTTGTTATTAACTCCATTCATTCGGAACTGCAAGGCCTGGTTCGTTAATTGTACAGAAGCTTATCCTCGACTATTCATGTTGTAGCAACGTAGGCCCTGATTGTAAGAAATTTTCGATTTCGTTTCGAGTCCGCCAGACTCAATTTGTATAATGTTTTCGATAGTTGCATAAGGAATTCTGATATTTAAATAATATTATAATACAAATGTAGAGATGATTTGATATAACGACAAAATGAAATAGAACATTAATCAACCACACCTGGCCTGGATACACCCTTGCCACATGTACACGACAGCACGGACTTAGATAGCAAATCTAATCTAATTCTGTGATGATAGTCTTAAAATCCTCTGAATATGGAAAAATTATATTGTGTTAGAACTTTTACATTAAGAAGTGTCAGAAACAGTGCACAAGAAGAACCTACATTTACTTATGATATTTGTCAATTAATGAAGATCTCTCTAGCTACGACTTTCGAGAAATAGCCATACCAAGCACGGAAGGCGATTTGAACAGTGATGATGGTGGGCTGATGATTTCCTTGCAAAATATGAACAGGCTGAGAACAGTGAAGGAAAACAAGGAGATAAGCATTTTCACTGTAATTCTTTTTATTCAATAAATCTTACGTTAAGCAAATAATCAACAATTGTACATGATCACTCTAAAATTCCCAATGTTAAATGTTACGATCTTCCATTTATATCTTAATAAAATTACTGTCATAATCTATACCTGGTAATTAATTTTAGTAAAACAATTTTTATAACAAAAAAAGAGAAGTTAGCAATTACCTGATGATGAGTATGTCCTTTTCAGTGCAATGTACTATAATTCACCTTCCCTAACTTTAATTAATATTATTATCATTAACATCAATGCTGACCTACTTGCACTGTCAAACAACGGGCAAGTCAAAGGTTAGCGGGAGTTTCCTCTGGCCCTGACATCGGACTTGGACATTTTGACAGATAGATATCTGGTACCTATAAAAATACCTGCTAGTCAAAGGGCAGGTAACCAGTTTATATACAGTAGCTATTCCAAATTGCCCAGACTTGGTACAAATCCATTTGCTTCAAAAACATTCTTTTTAGAAATTTCATCTAAATAAGTTGATAAATTAAATTACTCGCCTGATGATAAGGTTTCCAGAAATAACAAGTGGTTTAATAACAGTAGCAATAAACCAAATAAACCTGTCATGTTCACCATGTACAAGTTAGTATGGTGAAACGATTCCATACCTACCACAAAAATACCTGTACAGGTTATTATAAATTTCATTTATTTTACAAAAATTATGAAACAAGTTATATAAGTGACTCTTGTTGGCCCCGCGGGGTGTTAGCGCGCAGGGAGGAAACTGGAGGACCCAGAGAAACTTCATGTGGTTGGGCAGTCGACCCCATACCTTTTCAGGTCTGGACGGGAATCAAACCCCGGCCGCATTGGTGAAAGGCAAGTGCGCTATACACTGCACCATCCGACCACCCTTAAAGATTAGTAAGATCAAATGATGCCTTAAATGTTACTTCTGTCAAAGAACAGAAAACAAAAACAAAAAAAACCAAAAAAATAACAACAAAAACAAAGTAAAATTCAGACAAATCGGAGCTACAATTTAACACTTTCCTGTTTACCGTCTACAGTACATTAAGCATGTTTCCTGAAGGTTCCTTTGTTAAAGTTTACATCGGATATTCTAGGGATCCAGTAGACTGCAATACCTAGCAATGTAAGGGGCTCGGGGAAAATCTACAAATCCAGCCAAGGATAATGTTCGTAAATGTTCTCTCAAGAAGTCTTATGTGTAGGATTCATATTGTTTTATTATAGTGTACAAGCACTCATATTATTAGCACAATCAAAATTATGATCTACAAGACATCTCTATGCAACCTTAAATAAATTAATGTACTAACACCTCAAATTAAAACATTCCTTTTAAAACTTGTCTCTTTATTTCTGTCTCCTATTCTTTGTAAAAATAAAGTTGTGAAATCTAACCTCGGCTGTAAAACATTACCTTTGTTGTTTTGAATTGGCAAGGCATTTATTTTACATATCTGACCAGTTTAGCAATGACATTTCAGCTTTAAAATTGTTTTAAAATAACTACCAATTCAAACTCTTGGTTTTAATATAACAAAGGTACTGCCGAGACGGAGCAAGATATGCCTGTAGCTTGCTAGGAAACATCCATTTATATTCATTGTAAAACAATGGGTCTTACTGACAATTAACTCTTCTATCTACTCATACCAAATTATTGAAATGTATTAAGAAAACGACTACATTTAGTATTACTGAGATCTGTTTTAATTATTTCATTGATGTGTTAAAATAGGAAAACCTAGTGTAATTTACTTACATAGCCAAAGGAGTATGACACTGCGCTCCTATCTTACCTTGCCTTCTAAAAAATTTCTGCACAAGGTTTACTTCCCTTCGCACATATTCAACTCAAAATAAAACCAAAAAGTTTGAAAAATAAACAATGGGCTACAACTCTGTATAAAGTGAGACGAAAAACACAACATCAGAATGCAACACTGCCTATCCAAGATACTTCAATTTAACAAGTTGTATTTGTGTCATTATATACCTCTAAATGAGTAACGGTCAAATGCATGCGTAACAGTGAAATAGTGATTGGTAGCAGCTCAAAATTCATGTCTAACGGTACTGTTACGCTAAAACAGCTTTGGGAGAAAACTGAGGTTCCTTGCTTAATTACGTTCAAGGATTAAAATGTTCACAATATAATTCAACATATCATCATCTCTCCTCCCAAAATTAATCACTTCAAGATTAAAATCCCATGGAATAAACCATATCCATCTTGCAATAATCTTACGCCTTGTAATAAGCCCACCCAATTTTACTACAGTGCAGTAGAGATGCTGCAGTAGAAATGCTAGCAAATGCTATGTCATTGTGCTGTAATAAGTCCACCCCTCTGTTTTTGAGTCAGAGATTATGTGTTGGCCCTGTGGGCTTATTGCAGGATAAAAACGGTAAATGATTTTCAGTATGTATACTTTCTTGTGTTGTACTTTGAGCAATTCATTAAGTTTTGAAGAACTTTCTTCCATAAATACATTGACACACAGTCATAATCAGGCAAGAATAGAAGCTCACAGAGCTCATAAAATGGATTAAGAATTCAACTAAAATTACAATTTTCCACGAAGAACAAATTATCTCAGTTTCCGTGTAAGAAAGGAGAAAAAGAGTCTATATTTCTTTCTATTTTTTCTAGTTATCCACAAAAACACTATATCATCAACACACATATCTGCAATAATTAACACTGAAGTAAACACAGCACACATGCTGCTAGGTAACGGGGGAAGTCTCTCATTGGAACACTGGGCACATACAGGGTGGAGTGTCGACAGGCTGGGGACAGCTAGAGAGAGCCTCCCGCAGGCTAAATCCTAGATAACAGGCCGAGTGAAGAACGAATAGGTCAGATTGTAGTTCTTGAAGAAGCAGAGCTGGTGGTCATTGCGGACATAACCTTTGACATCTTTCTTTGCCATCTCCTTATGGTTGTCTTTGGCCAGCGACGCCTGCAGAGGACACATAGATGACATATTAATCATAGTGATGAAAGCATTAGACAAATTAAAATATTAGACAAATAAAACGGACAAATTTGTGAAATGTATATCCCCTTCCTGCTGGATATGTAACATCTTTTGCATCTCATTATGAATCTATGTCCTAAAGATACTTCATTGGAAGCAAGAATTGACCTATTTAACGGACAGTCCAAAGTTACTGGCGTGTAAAAGGGCACGCTAACAAGGTTATGCTTCACAACATGCTGTACTTAAATATATTTAAATAAGGTTTTAATAAAGTTATACAATTATTTAGCACTGAATGTGGCAAAATACTTCAGCTAAAAATATACATCTACAAAAGCATAGGCTCACATAAAATATTTATCAACCCTCTAAGTTCCTCTAAATTTTAAAGAAATCAGTTCAAAAATTGACAAAGCAAAACTGGCCAGCAAAAAAAACCCAAGGGAAATAACTCACAAAATATGTTGCAACATTCATAAAATGTACAGCTTAATCACCTTATTGCCAATATCTTTCAAACTGAAATGAAACTCCTACTTTATATTCATAACACTAAGGGGAAAAAATCTTTCATAGATGAATGATCATATATACTACATCACTATTTGAGTTCATCTGTGATCATATACTTTACCTTGTTAGCAAAGACGGTCATGAGAAACTTGCCCGGCCTAAAGGTGGCCAGTACCTTGTTGATCAGTGTGTGGTACGATTCCTGGAATATACAGATGTTACATATAAATCTACAATGTTCCTTTCTCTTATTATCATTTATTGAATTGTGTCATATTCAAGGACATTTGAGCTGGCGTAAGCTCCCAACTGGTTGAACAATTGATAAATTACACAATTGTGCGCACCATGTGTGCAATGTGTGCACATTTTATTTTTGGTGTGTTGTGCTGTCACACAACGGAACCATACTAAGAGTTAATGAAAGCAAAATTACCATTCCATTTTTTTAAGCTATTAAGTCAAACCTCTTTAAAAAGATATTGCATGTATTTCTAACTTTGAAATTACAGATATTACAACAAAGGTTACCTGGGGAACATTGGTTTCAAAGCTGACGTAGGAACAGTGAGGCTCGGGAGTCACATGGATGGTGATGTAGTAACCCTGTACAGGTTAAAAACAGATGTAAAGTCTTTATAACTCCAACGATGAAATGTTTTTTCTATTGTGATGTTATGAATTACCAGGGGTTTATCAGGGTACCTTTTGGTCCATGTAAAGGACCCATTCCCAACTGAAAAAGTGGATTTTTTTTCTTTCAAATCTGCCCCTTTTAAATCCCCAATTTAGAAATGATCTAAAATAGAAAGGACATAATGATCATGTTGTTATAAAGACAGGCTTAAATAAAAGTTAAACAATCTAATTCTATATATTCAGAGTTGTTATAATGATACAAATTTCCAAAGATATCTATTACGTCATTTTTTTTTTCCCCAATTTCATTGCAGGGTCCGTTTCCCAAAAACCCTGATAAACCCCTTATCACTTGTGATATCTTCGTGATAAGGCATGTTCATCTGTCATAAAATCAATGCCCTAAATTTGCATAGACCACATTTCTTAAGGTACTATTATCTAATTTACTGGACAAGATTTTGGGCTACTGTCTTCCACCTTGTCTAGTTATAATACAGCCTTTACCGATTACTTTGTTTACAATATCAAGTGTTTCATCGTCAACAATAAATAAGGTGAAATTTCAACTTCTCGTAAGTATCTTTTGCTGTACATTAACGTTTGTAAGAACTCACCCCTGGCAATAGACCATTCATGGAATACCCGCAAGGCTCAAACAGGAAGTCATCAATTTGAACTCCTGGAACAATATCAGATATACCGGATTCCTTGAGAAAAAACAAAGACACAAAAATTAGTAAAACTATTTACCTAATTTTTCAAATATTCAGTGCAATAAAATAACAGTGCAACAAATTAAATGGAATTTCTAAAGTGTCAATAGCATTTTAACTGGTTATTTTGTCATGACAATTTTTTGCCGATTTGGTACAAAACAAATAATTTCATTTTTGTTTTTCATTTCTTATTTAAACTTCTTGTTCTATTTCAAAAGTTGTGTCGTACATATACCTTGTGGTAAATTTTGATGGATGATGATTGTCATTATTATAACTCACCTTGGTGGCTTGAGCAGCTGTCTTAGAAACATCTTGGGTAAAAATGGCCATCTTCTCACGACACATATCCCACATTAGCAGGTGTCAAGGTCAAGGAGAAATATTTGGTGTAGACTTATTCATATACTAAGCACAGGGGCTTGTGATTTTCGATTTAGGCTTAGATCTTACTATCTTGTCCCATTTCAAAACTCAATTTTTGTTTTTTTGTTGTTGTTGCTTTTCTGAGTGTTAACTTGACAATTGTGCTAACAGCATAATTTACATTAGTGTAATTTTTTCCAAACTCTGAGACAGTTATGAAACAATTGTGTGTAGTTGATTAAAAGTTCAAGGGAAGCATGAATAGTACCTTATGGGAGCAAATTACACACACTCAATATACACATAAGTCAAAGAAGAGACACAATATCCTGATTGCTACCAAGTATGATTTTTAATGCTCAAATTTTCGATATGATTACTTTTCGCAAATTAATGCTCAAAATGAACAAAATAGTTTTTCCCTAATATATTCATTTGTAAGAAATAACATGATTTATTAAAACATTGAATTCTTTTTAAGAATTTATTGAACGGAGCAGTTTACTGATAGAAAGTTTCTGAGAAAAAAACATAATGTTGGCAAGCGCGATCGTGTTTACCACATAAAGGATATTTCCACTGTTTGGTCGGGTAGAGTAACGCCTTCCTCGTCCAGTGTGTACAGATGCCTGTTAATTATAACACATCATCAGTCATATACTGCAAAGGTCGACATATTTGAGAGTGCTGTAATCTTCATGAGAATTTTTTTGTGAGCTGTCAGTACTATGTGTCAATGTTTCCACAATATTTATCTTCTAATTGGCTTATTAAAAGCAAAGGTACACCGTAATTATTTTTGAAATTCCCATGGAAATATTTTCACTTTTATTACATTTTTTTAACACTCCCCAAGCAAAAATATTTTTTCAAGAAATAATTAAATTACCCACATTTTTCACAAACAGGATACCTACCAGAAATTACTTTCAGATATAACATAGAAAATATTTTGAAAATCACTTTGGGAAACAAATTTCAAATGAAACATGATACAAACTTGATTTTCCCCCTTGTATAATATCACTTTTACCCACAAGTATGCCAACGTACCAGCAGTCTCTGTTAATGCGTCCCAGGGTGTAGGCTGCTCCATCTACAAAATATACATCACCAAACTTATACATCACCACACTTATACATCACCACACATCACCACACTTATACATCACCACACTTATACATCACCAACCTTATACATCACCACACTTATACATCACCACACTTATACATCACCAAACCTCAAACAAACACCTTGGTATTCCTATCAAACGAACACCTTGGTATTCCTATCAAACAAACACCTTGGTATTCCTATCAAACAAACACCTTGGTATTCCTATCAAACAAACACCTTGGTATTCCTATCAATCAAACACCTTGGTATTCCTATCAAACAATACCAAGGTGTAAAAGGTGGTTGCTTGATTATTAGACAGTGTTGTTATTTAGCATGAACCCATCTTACTCAAATTTTCCCTGTGCCATATCAACACATGAATTTGAATTTTGATATTTATTTCTTAAAGTAATGTATGATTGAATATCAACTGGCATATATAATACCTTTAATCTTTATAGATGTTCTTTATACATCAATATTATATTTTATCAGTACTTACTTTTAAAGACTTTATCCAGGTGACTGACCTATAAAACAATACAAACACATTTCAATCTACAGCACATTGGATGAGATAGATACTGCAGCATTTTTACCAAAGTGATAATTTCTACACCACAATTACTCTCTTTTGCAAAAACACTGCTACAGTAATACCAATGGCTGCTACAGTTTGACCAATTTCACTAAGTTACAGTTCTGCATGCAGTTAGCAACCCTACCTCATCTTCAAATGTGCGATGGATGATATGTTGTTGCTCTGGCCGGGCAAATTTCTTCCTCGAATAGAATATGTCCTACAAAAAAAAGACAACAAAATTTGTTGTAACCATTTCTACACAATGAAGAAATTGGGCTTTTTTTGCAAATGGATTTACCTATGAATTTAACAAGAGAGCAGTCATTTCTATTCCAGTAACTTTTACATGACTAAAAATATTTTCTGATATGTTAATAATGTTTAACATTACCAAAATCCTTTAATGATTTTAAAACACAAATTCCACAATAAGTGATCTGTTCTTACATGCATTAGTATTCTCTGATAGTTTTCATTCAAATATTATCCAATCAAAACCTTCAAATTTTCATATACATTTATAAACTAGAACTGTAAGCCAAAGGCTGAACTCTACACTTATTGAAGTATATAGGTCATTCACATACTTCCTGTACCCTCTCTCAATGCCAAATGCATACTTGCTAACCAAATCTTGTTAGCCTAGATGAACGAGTTTTGCTGAAATCGTCCTAGTAGTTAAGGAAGAAACGTCGGGACAAAGATTTTTAACAAAGGGTCACAACTCCTTAAATAGGGCCGAAATGAAAAAATACTACTTGGATGCACCACGTCAATGGGCAGTTGCCATATCTGTAAACTTTCTTTGAAATTGGCCCCGTAGATTAGGAGAAGTTGTCGGGACAAGGATTTTTCAACATAGAGCCATAACTCCATAAAAATGGGTCAGGGAAAAAATACCTGGATGCACAACTTTTGGTGGTAGTTATCATATCTAAAAAGTTTCGTTGAAATTGGGAGCATAGTGTTGGAGTAGTTTGTGGAGATTTAATTTTTTAACAAAGGGCCACTACTCCGTAAAAAAGCGTCAGATTGAAAAAACAATACCTGGATGCACAACTTCAAGTGGTAGTTATCATATCTGGAAAGATTCATTGAAATCAATTCAAAACTTTAGAAGGAGTTGTACCGGACAAAATATTTCAGGAATTTTTCAACAAAGGGCCATAACTTCATAAAAAAGTGTCAGAATGTATAAAATAATACCTGGATGCACAATTTCAGGTGGTAGTTATCATATCTGGAAAGTCATGTTGAAATTGGTCATTACTTTAGATGGAGTTGTTCGTACAAACTTTTTATATACGGACGGATAGACAGACAGACAAGCTGACTCCAGTACACCCCGCCCCCCTAACTTTGTTGTGGGGGGTATAATGATATCCTATAAATACTTCGTTGCGGGGGGTATAATGATATCCAATAAATACTTCATTGGGGGGGGGGTATAATGATATCCTATAAATACTTCGTTGCGGGGGGTATAATGATATCCAATAAATACTTCATTGCGGGGGTATAATGATATCCTATAAATACAGATGTCAGTTTGGAATTCTTTTGAAAGGAGTTAAGTCAAACAACGACAACAACACTCTCTAAGATGGGAGACAATCTGATACATACAAACACGATGTCCAGCCCACACTTGTTTTTGGCCAGTCTGAGTAGGGGCTCGATGGCCAGTAGAAGGGTGGTCTTCCCACACGTTTTCAGGATAAATCGCTCCTTGGTCACAAACATGCTGCTCTCACTATACAAATATACATGAAATCTTCATAAAAATACCATCTTGAATACCCTAATTTTCTTCCAACTTTGCATATGCAAAATACACATATCAATTAAAATTGACAATTTGGATATCTCTATCCCTCAAAGAGGCAACCTTTGACCTCTGGTTCAGGTGAGGATATATGTATTTGTTTAAAATGTGCTGTACCTTGTCAGCTGGTGATATGAATATGATGTCATTACATTTATATCCAATATTACTTAACCAATGTAAGACCCTTTTTAGAAATTTAACATATGTTCCCTGATACTTGTTTATAATGATCCATCGAGACGACCCACTCACCTGAGGACGTAGGCATCCATGTCAGGGTTAGACATCTTACTCAGGATTTCACATCTGACAATGTGTAGCAGGTCCTCCCAGTCCTTCCTGTAGGTTGTTAAAGGTGTACAAAGGCTTATTATAGTGTACAAAGGCTTATTATAGTGTGCAAAGTCTTATCATAGTGTACAAGGGCTTATTATAGTGTACAAAGGCTTATTATAGTGTACAAAGGCTTATTAAAGTGTACAAAGGCTTATTATAGTGTACAAAGGCTTATTATAGTGTGCAAAGTCTTATCATAGTGTACAAGGGCTTATTATAGTGTACAAAGGCTTATTATAGTGTACAAAGGCTTATTAAAGTGTACAGAGGCTTATTATAGTGTACAAAGGCTTATTGTACAAGGGCTTATTATAGTGTACAGTCTTATTATAGTGTACAAAGGCTTATTATAGTGTACAAAGGCATATTATAGTGTACAAAGTCTTATTATAGTGTACAAAGTCTTATTATAGTGTACAAAGGCTTATTATAGTGTACAAAGGCTTATTGTACAAAGGCTTATTATAGTGTACAAAGGCATATTATGGTGTACAAAGTCTTATTATAGTGTACAAAGTCTTATTAAAGTACTTATCAGGGAAAATAATACTGAAAAATTGGAGGAAATTTCGTTTTGTGTAAATGTTCCCATTTTCAGGACAGACATGTACAATTAGCACTAAATTGTTCAAACATGACTATGTATTCATACATTGTATGGATTAAAGGCATTTAGAATGAGCAAGTTTCAGACCCATTGCCAACATGAAGAATGTCCACACCAGAACTAGTTTATAAAGTCACAACGCAAACATTTCTATATGCATAAAAATCCACTTTTCCAGTACCAGTATATATATACAAATACAACAAGTCATGTTTTATATATATGAAGATATATATTTCTTCGCACAATGATAAATATTGACTAATCAGAGAGCAAAATTTGCTGTAAAAAAAATAAATTCATATTATATGTTGTTATTCTAGGATCCAGTTGACAGGTGATTTATGGTTCGGACAATGTGGGGAAGTTGTTAACCTGTGTCCTGATCATTGGTTCATTGCTATAACTGGAATGTTGTCCAGGCTGTACTCCACTCGCCCAATGTCCAGGTCTAGTAGATTCTATGCTAGGTTAGTGAAAATTGTCAATGCTATTCACTCTAAAAATATAAGTCATACAAGTAGAACTATACAAAATATGTCTTTGTTTGTATGGGGATTATTAAAGGTCCTTACAACAGCTAAGGTCTTGGCAAAATAATCTCTTATATAAATCTAATACACCCCCTTTGGTCCCAATTAAAGTTGACATCTCTACATTTACAAGTAATACACAAGTAATATAAGAAATCTTTAATGTGTTCCAAATACTTTCAGGAATTTATAAAAAAAGATGCTAAAAATAGAAAAAAAGTTGCAAAAATAAAGTTTCTGGAAGACGTAAACAAAATGGACCAGCTAGATTTGTTGAATAAAATTAATGGTCACGTATTCCTAAATGTGTATATCTGTCACAATACCTGCAGAGTTCAATTTGAATACATTCAGCTTTATTCAAAATGTGTGGATCGGTAGCCCACCTCTATAACAATCATTTTAATCGAGAAGAGCGCCCACGTAGCAGGTCGGCTTTTCAGATGCTCAGTGAGTCAGTAAATAAAACAGGCCTTGTGCAGCCTCTCTTTCACTTTCTCCTTTCTGTGGATACACCCATCAATAGATTGCAAGACAGAGCTGTGTACTGAATAACAGACTTTTGAGAATTTAGCTGTATATAAATACTGATAGAAAAAATTACAAATTTATGTTTGCTGCATCACTTAGATACCCCAGGAAGCAGTTGTTGTTGTTTTTTTACAAGAAACAGCAGACTACAAATTGTTCATACTGCAGCTAGAATTGATCAATTACCTGGTACGTCAAAATGAAACTTTTCATTCTGCAAAGTTAAATTACATGTACTATATCATATACATACTAATATGACTCCTAAACCAACTGCCATTTATATATATTTATAGGTAATTATTGATTTAAGGAAACACATATAGTACATGTCTGGAACTTGATACACATAAGAGTGGTATAGCTACTGTAAAATGGACATTTCCTTTTTATCATAATGCAGATATATATTACACTGTAGACAAATTTGCATACCGTTGGTAGTAATGATGTGCCAGGTGCTGTAAATGGCCACAGATCTTTGTCTACACCAGCTGTGTCTGAATACAGACTAGTTCTTGTTCTCATTTGCTGACATATGGGTCTACGCTAATAGTACACCAGTAGATCTAGACAGTGCCATGTGACTTAGTACATCAGATAGTCCAGGCACGTATCTGGAAGGATTCCCCCTCTTATAGTACACCAGTAGATCTAGACAGTGACATGTGACTTAGCACATAAGATAGTCCAGGCACGTATCTGGAAGGATTCCCCCTCTAACAGTACACCAGTAGATCTAGACTGCTGGCAGTGTGACTTAGTACATAAGATATTCCAGGCACGTATCTGGAAGGATTCCCCCTCTTATAGTACACCAGTAGATCTAGATAGCATTTTATGAAAAGTTTCTGAAAAGGGCCGGTTTCCAAAACGGCCCCTTCTCTGATTCAAATTTCCTGTTGGTGGTGCATTGCCCATGCCGTTGTGGTCACAAATCTATAAAGTATAAAGATTTAGGTCACTTGGTTTGTTTGTTATGGCTCCTCAAAGTTGTACCTTTCAGAAGCTGTCTAAGTGTTGATAAAATGTGCATGTTATGTAAAATATTAATGAAAATCTAATCAAATGATGGTCACCGTAAAGAATACATTCATGGCATGATTGTGACAAAAAATCATGTTTCCATCGCGCCATTTGGCTGTTTTATGGAAGAAACAATCTCAAAAATGCCATTTTCGATGATAACATTTTAGACACAAAAACTGTGTTTTTTAGAGAATACACCCTTTTATGGGCGTTGGATGCAAACCAATTTTTATCCTATTAAACAGTACGTAATATGCTATTGATGAGAGGAAAAATCATCAAAATGTAAGTGGTGGAACATTTTCAAATGTTGGGTTGAATTAGCCTATGGTTGAATTGCCGATTTTCGACTTTCTTTAGATAATTAACAAAAAAACGAGAGTATTTGCTCGGTATGTTGAGAATATGTACACAGATATGAAAAAAAGTGAGAGAAACACTTTTTCATAAAAAAAATCCAAGATGGCTACTTCACAAGTCCCCGTGGTTGAAGACATTGGCTGACAAATAGACAGAACAACAAACAAAACGTGTTCCTTATGATTTTGGTTGGTTTTCGCATTTACGGGAGTGTTCATAGCTACGGGCGATTGTATAATACCTATATTTATAAGTTTGGTTAGTCACATGGTAACGGGGATCTTTCATATCGAGCCCCAAACATACTTTCGACATATGCACTCCGTTGCCGCATGGAAAACTATTTCAAGTTTTGTCGGAATTTCTTTACCTGTGGTTGTAATGGTCGAGGGTTTTCCAGCGTCCTGTAATACCCAAGGTAGTACAAGATACTGGAGATGTGCGCACACATTCCCATCGTTCTCTCTCCAACTGGGCACTGGCAGTAGTAGTCCTTTATTGGGGCCTCAACATCGGGTGAAACGGTGAACCGTATCCAAACGTTATATTTCGTTTGGCTTTTGTGTCGAGAATGTATTTGACATCGGAGAAGGTCTGGGGAGTGCTGGTAAAGCCACACCTCATAGTCTCCGTCATCACTTAAATGTTCGGCGATGTAACCAGGAGCCAGAGATATCTGATACGTTCCACACGTAATGGTTCTCAAGTAATCAAGATCGAGACGGGGAAACAGTACGGAAGATGCATCCATCTTGACAAACTCGGACCTTGCCCGTCTAGATAGATCCGGATCTGTCTTGACTCTCTGAGCTAAACCATTCGGTGTTGTCAAACGGTCCTTCATACGTTCAGCCATTAGCCTATCTTTGGCATCTCTCTCTGGAGATCTCTGGTAGATCGGTCCTCTAATACCATTCAGACAGGCTGTGACGGTTCGAAGCAAAGCCTCGATGACATTGATAAAGCTGTTAGACACCAATTGCGTTCGGAAGAACGTCCAGTGTTTCAGACGACCATGATAGGATTCCACAATCCACCTCGATTTGGTGATAGTTCTGTCAAGATTTGCTTGGACGTCAGAATGTTGACTTTGACCGGGTTTCAGGTATGACGGCATGCTAGCATTGAGGCCAGAGGCTTCGAGAACTGGTAGGACATCTCTAAAACCTCGGTCAACGACAACGTTGTCGTCTGGTTGTAGCCAAGTAACTAGCTTGTCCATGACTTTTTTTGTAATTGTAGCATCATTTTCGCTGCCAGTGAATGGTCCTACTGTGTCCAGAATGTAGCCATCTGGTAAGGCGATGCTCATGAATTTGAGATAGTTTCTCTTCTTCTGGCCACAGTAGGACATTCTCTGGAGCTTGTGGTCGGAGCTTTTCTGGATATAAATATAGGTGCCATCTAATATGGCAGTGGCTTTATCTCCAAAAAATGCTTCTGAAAAGACAGTATTGTGCCCGAGCAACTGTTCTCTTGTCAAGTGATCCGGACCTAGAAATTGTGGGACTATCGATGTGTCTAATGCCTGTACTATGGAGTGGAAAGTTTTGGACACACTTGACTTGGAAATTCCAAAAAGAGAAGAACACTGACTCCAGGAAATGTCGGTTTTCAGTTTTACCCAGAACAGTAATAGAGCATCGTGTGTAGTCTTGGTATATATACCAGATGAAAGATATGGGGAACAGTGCGAGTGGATTTCGAGGAACTGATCTTTGGACCAACCTGTCCAGGCCATGCATGCCGAGTCATCAAGAGAAGAAAAGCTTATTGTAAACGCAGACTGGTTCTGTGAAAGGACGTGCGACACCTCTAGGAGGTCATTAATGATTTCGGACGATTTTGATGGTAACTGAGATTCCAAGGAACCTCTACCATCAAGGACAACCTCTGTAGACGGATCTAAGTCGTTACCAATAAGGTGAATGGAGCAGACGCGG